GCGGCCTGTGGAGTAAATGGGCAATGGCGGGGTCTTTTTGTTCGACGTCTCCAGAAAATAGTGATAAAGGATCTTCAAAATTTTGTGTTGTATGTGGGTACTTGTCATTTGCTCACGATTATCAAAAAAATCTAAAAAATTAAGAGCACAACCCATGATGAGTTCGGGTGAATGAAGATCCCTTGGTGGTTATGATAGAACAGTTTACTAAAGCCGTAGAACCGTTTTCCGTGCTTTAAAGTGCGCAGCAAAGATGCAGCTTCAACTGCTTCAATTTTCCTCTTCCGTAGCAGCTAATGCCTGCACTCTATACTATCCATGCATTGTGCTCGCTCAAATGTTTTTTCTACTCCGTGCTCGAAATGCACAGCATTGTCATGCAGCACAAAATGCGTGCGGTAGCGGCGTTTTGCCGAAAAGCCTCAGCACAAAGTGAGCAAGCCGTTGATTAGCATCTTCTGCGGGTTCTTTCCATTTTTCTTCACTGCCCATGTCGACCCAATGCCTCCATTTTCGTGCGCTTTTGATTCACGGGTGTGTCGTTAAGTTTAGACGAGAAAGTTATGATAAAATGTGTGCACTTTATCATCTTCCGTTCCATTTTTCAATATGTCTTTTATTCTGAACTGAGTTCCTTACCATGAGATAGCAACCCTCTCAGCGTTCTCAGACACGTCATCTCGAGATCGAGCCTTAGCCACTCCCTCCCCCCACCCCCGGTCAGCCCCGATTTTTTCTTGACAGAATTCTGATTTGGAACACGATACATCGCCACGTAATCCACACCTATGAAAAAAAAAACAATTGATTGTGTTCAAAAGATTTTTCTGTGGGCGGTATTTCGAAAAGGGGTCCCTCATGCTTTTCAACTTTCATTTTCAGACACTAGAGCTTGAAAGCAACAGTCCCAGCAGGGTGGGCGTGGTCGGAAACGACTGCAATCCCCTCGGCCGATTCCGACCACGCCCACTTCAGCTCCCTCCCTAGCGGCTTTCCAAGGTGAGTTTTTGTTCAGTCACACTTCTTACGTTCTTGACTAGGGGCTGAACAGCTCCGAAGTGGGAATCGGCCGAGGGGATTGCAGCCGTTTCCGACCACGCCCACCCTGCTGGGACTGTTGCTTTAAATATAATAGATTACCGTTTTGTTGTGGCCCTAATTAGAGATAAAAAAGGATAAAATTTAAAGGCAGCAAAAATTCTGTCTCCTTCAAGAGGAAAGCGCAGTGTCATAATCGTTCGAATAGGCACTTTACATCTATTTTCAGCTCTGATGGATCTTAGTTCAATGGGTGACTAAACAGAATAAACAGATGCTCACAACAAAAAAGAGGTCAATCTAGCCATCCACCAGCAGAGTTATAGGAAGAGGTAGCGCTTTACTGAGATGGCAGTCAACCCAGACGGAGTGTAATGAAATAACCAGATTACTTATAATTGGTGAAAAGAAATATGGCTAGTATAAGGACTTCCTGCAACAGCATTAAGAAATCTTTCGCATCTCCCTACACGACACCACTCCCCCACTCCTTAAACCCTCTACATACTACCACTAGATCGAATTTTCATATCATCACAGCAGAGGGAGGGGGAGGGTGAGTAATCCAAAGAGAAACTGTTGCAAGTACAAAATCTCCTGAGAATGCTTTGAAAGACTTCCTGGAATTTCTCCAGATTTCGAAAAAATAAAAAATACTCGACAGTACTAATTCCTCCAATGTACGTACGACTTTGCATCAAGATTTTTTGACATACACTTGACCCCGTGGGGATATCACAGCAACTTTAAACCTTCTTCCTTCTGATAGGAGACATTTTTTTAATTCTTCAAAGAGGGGAGTTCAGCTAAATGGACTTACAGTTTATTTTACGAAACAAACAGGTGCAGCTTTGTGGTTATCTCTTGAATTTAAACGCGTGGTGTAAACGAAAACACAAAGACTAATCGTTTTTTCATTTTTCGACTCATAAATGTGCTATTTTGGCTGTTTTTACCGGAGATTTTCGATGTTCAAAGGCATTATCTTAGAGCTCGTTGTTCTACTTACTTCCCATCTCCTGTGGCATTTCGAGGTACCCGACAAGTGGGCATTGCGCGGCGAGAAGGCAGAGACGCAAACGGATCGGTGGACGAGCTACAGCGCATATTGCAGTGGCTTCCGTCAAACTAAACAGAATGTACTGTCGTACGTCTCACATCAGACAGCACGCACTGCAACTCGTCCGCTGATCAGGGTCAAGCGAGGCGTCGAGGAAAATTCGGAAATACGACCCCCCCTGAATCGGTAACAAGCCGCCTTCGCCAGCTGTGTGTTGACTGGACTTTGGCGTTGACCGTGGAGCAGCTTATTTACTATTGAAATTTGAACAAATATTCAAATGATTATAACTTTCTTCAAAGTTAACGAATTTTCAATCTGAAAGCTGATTTGGGAGTTTTGTGAAGAGCTTTTTCTAATCAGTGCTGTAAATTGAAAGTAAGTTACGTAATAACTTATTGGAGATAATAATTCAAATTGTAGATAAAAACGAGTGAAAATTTGAAGGCAGCACGGAGTTTTATTGTCCTGGTGGGAGGGGTGGTACAATAAAACTTGCTTCATTTCCGTCAAATTCAAAAAGTTGATACGTCATACAAAACTAGAAGATTTTCTCTATCAAACGGTCGCTAAAGCAGCTTCATACGTCCAGTACTCAAAAAATGGCCACGTTGAGGATTTTTGCAAAATTAACGAGGAAAATTCGTGATGAGTGCGAGTTTTTACGCTTTCCAAAGCCATAACTCCGTTCAAACTCATGCAATCTGGAAAGTTAATACGTCATCATAAACTAGAAGATTTGCTCTTTCTATAGGCAACTAAAACTGCTAAATACGTTCACTATTAAAAAATGGCCACGTTGAGGATTTTTGCCCGAGTACCGCCGAAAGGTACTTTTTCGCTACATTAGCACTGACGTAAGCAAACCAGCCCTTTTGGCGCTTCGGCTGGGACCGTATGCTGAATGTTGGGGAGGGGATGGAGTCCCCGACGGTGGACGGACCACTTCAACTCGGTCCTTAGAACCGCCACAATTTGGTGCTTACCTCAGAACTAAGCCTTAAAGAGAGGACGGGTCCGTCCCCTCTCCAAGGCTTAGTCCTGGGGTGAGCAAACCAGCCCTTCTGGCGGAGCTGCTGGACCAGCTGCACCACTTGCGTCAGTACTCTCCTATCGTACCAACCGAGTGATAATAACTT